CTTTAACTTTTCAGGATCTTTGCATTGAGAAACTAGAGAAAAGAACGAGTGCGATTGGTTTCCTGTAGCTATGTGTACTGCATTTTCCATGATTGTCAGAAATAATTGCCCTGAAATGGAGAAGACTACTGGATAACTTTCAACAGTTTTGATATGTCAGTGGAGCTGGTGTTCTTGTGTAGGTTTCAGAAGTCTGGCTGTGGTCTTGCATGCCAGTGAGACTTCCCACACAATTCCTGCTAATGGCTAACTTGTTTTCAGAGGAATGGATATCTTAAAGCTCTTAATGTAAAACTGAATGGAAGATGTTGTTAGCTATTAACAGCTTGTAGATGCTAATTAGCTTATTGGCTCAAATACTGGCTAAAATCACTCAAAACGTAAGTAATAACTGTAAACCTATTAAATTTTAATATTCTGTATGGTTGGTAAGTCTTTCATACAGTAATACAGCACCAGAGTTTTCCAATGGTCCTCAGACAATACTTAGACAAACTTCATAAAAGTTTGCCCTTTTATTTTAAACTGCACAGCCCTCACACTCTTACTCCGGTAGGTTCTGCTACTGAACATAACGCAGAGACACTGTTTAAGAAAGCAGGAAAGTATTATTTTGTGTATCTTTTCTCCTAGCAACCAGATAACATTGTTTATGTGATGGATGCTTCTATTGGCCAAGCTTGTGAAGCTCAAGCTAAAGCTTTCAAAGATAAAGTAGATGTAGCTTCTGTTATAGTTACGAAGCTTGATGGACATGCAAAAGGAGGTGGAGCTCTTAGTGCGTAAGTATTGTGATATCGTAGCATCCAACATCTGGCCCTGCATGGACAGCTATGAAATGTGTTGATGTGTCACAGACTTGTCCTGTGCAAGTGTCAGCATTGCACTGCACAGAATCTGAGATTAATCAGTAACAGTTATGTTCTTACCCTACTTCTAGTGGATAGGATTACCCATTGGTATTTAACATCAGTCAGAATCGGATATTATATACTTCCAATATAGTAGTATATGCATATTGTCAGCCTTCTGTCTTCTGAGAACAGTATTGAGTATATATATTGCAGCTTGGCTATCAAGTTTTTACTAAAAATATGAATTTGGACTTAATAGACATAGCTTACCTGAAAAGTTTTGCTTCTCATTTAATGCCCAAGATTTTTTTTCCCAGAAGGGGGGAAAAAAACCCTCTCGCTAGTCATATCAAATGGCCTTAAAACTGATGCAAATCAAACTTGTGGGTTGCCAGTGTCCAGCAGTTTGGTAAAAGATCAGTCTGCAGTCATACTTTCCCAAATTCCATTCTTGTTGGACTTCCCATGTGCTGTATCTGGACAGACTTTTTTACTATAAAATGTTACATTTTATCTTTAGTCTTACATGATAGCATGTCAGACTAATGTCCAGCTGTGTTTCGGTGATACAGCTTGTATGGACCTGAGATGATCTGTCAAAACAGTCAAAGTTAACTGACTCCAACTTAATCACTGACTCTGATCTTAAGTGTCAAGAGTTCTTAAACTGCCATATGCATTTTGCTGTTATATGTAGTGTAGTGATGGAAAACTAAAGAGCTAAATGAAAATGCCAAAAGCTTGTCCAGTTGTCACGTGCTTGTATGTGTTAAGTCTGCTGTGCATTCTGTACTTTCTGTAGACTGGAAGCTGAATTAATCCACAAGCTAGTGCCACGGATTGATGAAAGGCTCTGATTTTTCTGATGCCTAAGGTTTTTTCCTGTGTTGAAAATCAGATTGTCTGTTGTAGGAGGTACCTTGAAGGAAAAAGTAATCAATACCTTTCTCATCTGACCTAATGTTAGGGTAGAATGGATATGATTTATTTTTCTTTACTCTCAAGTTTCTTAAGCTCTGCAATGAAAATAAGCAACTTCTGATTCTGTTGATGACTTTTCAAAGCAGAGTTTGTATTTTACAAAGTACCAATCAGAGAAATCTTGTCAGCTACTCCCAGCTACCCATCCTAAATTCTGGATGGTTTTGTATTAATAGTTTGAGGAGTAAAAGATGCTTCAGAGAGGATGCACTGTGTTGATGATCTCTAGCTGGTTATTTTAATAGGTGGTACAAAAGACGGGCGATTCTTGAAACCATTTCATAAAATATATTTTACTGCAGAGTTGCTGCCACAAAGAGTCCTATTATTTTTATTGGAACTGGTGAACACATAGATGACTTTGAACCCTTTAAAACGCAGCCCTTCATCAGCAAACTTCTTGGTATGTACTACGTACAGCTGTACATGAAAATGTTTAATTGGATAATAGAAAGTCAGTGTAATTTTTTTTAATGCCAACTTCACAGCTGGGTCTTTTTTCCAGGTATGGGTGACATTGAAGGATTGATAGATAAAGTAAATGAGTTAAAGTTGGATGATAACGAAGCACTCATAGAAAAGCTCAAACATGGTAAGTTATTCCCAAGACCTGAATAGTGGGTGTATTACCATAACCTAATCATGGCAGATTCTGAGGTGCAGACCACGCAGTTAATTTGTGTTATATTTAGAGACAATGTGCATAGTGAAGAAAGTTAGTTCTTCCTAGTACATGTGGCATGCAAGTAAATTGTTTTTTGAGTGATAAGTCTGTCAGACTATAACTGTCTCTAACAGCAGAATAACTAGCTTAACTCTTAAGTGTGTGCCATCTGAAATGGTTTAGATGTGTTAATAGAGGAGAATAGGTTTATTTATCTACTAATTTACTCAGTATAGTATTTACCTGGTAAATAAAAAGAATAATTGAGAAAGGACAGTAAAACCAAAATGCTAGTGGGACTTTTGCTAATCTCTTTGTTGTACTTCAGGTCAGTTTACATTAAGAGATATGTATGAACAGTTCCAGAACATCATGAAAATGGGACCATTCAGTCAGATTTTGGTGAGTTATCCCTAAAGTAATTTTATTTGATCAGATTTTCATTTATATTTGATAAACTTCTGCTGCAAACCTAGAACTCTTCATTGAAACTGATAGAGTATGTGTTTTGTTTTTAAAAAAGGTGGAATTATTTGCTTACTGTGATACATAACTGCTGAACTAAAACTTGCTGTCCGTATTTCTGGCTGCTTAATTAAAGTTAGGTTTGCTTATTCTGACACAGCTATTTTTTTTCATTTTTAAAACAAGGGTATGATCCCTGGTTTTGGAACTGACTTCATGAGTAAAGGCAATGAACAGGAGTCAATGGCAAGGCTAAAGAAACTGATGACTATAATGGACAGTATGAATGACCAAGGTAAAACAAACTTCATCCACTATTTCTTTTCTCCATTGTTGAACAAACTTATTTAGAGATCTTTTTGGAAACAAGTTGGACATAAGCCAGCATCTACAGTGACAAAATGATGAGGTGCATTTATCACTCTTAAAAATGGCAAGGAGTGCACACAGTGTCTCAAACTTTCTGAATAAGTGTGTGTATTTAGACAACTTGACAATTCTCTGTTGCTGCTTTATCCTGTGTAGAATAGGTGGGATTTTGAAGCATTCTATTGCAAATTAGTGTACTTCTATTTTTCATTCTGTAACTGTGCTTCTTAAAATACTAGCACAGTACTTTAAAAATTATTTTAAAAGTTACATTCATCTTTAATCTGTCATTGCTGTCCATCCTCCTACCTACCGTCAAATTGTTGACATAGTCTGGTCTCTGGAATTCAAGGTGTTGTTTCCAATCCGTCCATAGCTCTTGCAGAAGCAGTATGCTCTTACCTTTGTGCTAAACCCGTTACTATAGCTTAAGATCAAGTCTGCCAAGAGCATAATTTATTCAGGTGACTTTCTGTTGTGGTGATTGACATGAACATAACAGCTTTTTAGTACAGTTTCCTAGAATATTACACCTCATTTATGTAAAATTCTGCATTATCACTTCTAAAATTCTGTCTCAAAACTAAATTCTCAGCAACAATGAGAACAAGTTTGCTACCAGCTGTAACAGATTTCAGTGTCAGTAACTGAATGGATTTTTTTCTTTCCCATGCTGTAATTGCAGAACTTGACAGTACGGACGGTGCCAAAGTTTTCAGCAAGCAGCCAGGAAGAATCCAAAGAGTAGCAAGAGGTTCAGGTGTTTCCACCAGAGATGTTCAGGAGCTTTTGACCCAATACACTAAGTTTGCACAGATGGTGAAAAAGATGGGAGGCATCAAAGGGCTTTTCAAAGGTAACAAAACAACAACAAAAAGACACAACCATTTATTAACTCAGTGGGGAGGTCACTTGATGTGTGAACACAGGAAATGTAAACATGTAGATGAGGTGTTGGGAGAAGAGAGAGTGAGTTGTGGTTCATTTTCATGATGTTTGAAAGCTGTCTTATGTAAATGGTAAGAGTGTCACTGTTCTTCATGACACTAATATGTAACTTAGCAGTGAAAACTACTGTATTTTTTACTTTATCAATGTGGAGTTCATTACTACTAAAATACTGACACTTCAGTCTGTTATGTGGGGCACAGGCACTGTTGATCCTTTTAAGTGGCTCATGTAGTAATTTCTGATCAGGGACTCAAATTTATTATAATTTAGAATTAGGTAAAATTCTGATTTATTTTATTTTTATCCTCATATATTAATCTATTTTCTTATGATTGCTTGTTTTATTTTGGGTTTTTTTGTTGTGGTTTTTTTTTCAGGTGGTGATATGTCAAAGAATGTAAACCCATCTCAGTTGGCCAAACTGAACCAACAGATGGCAAAGATGATGGATCCAAGAGTTCTTCATCATATGGGTATGCGTTGGCTTTTTTACAGCTTTGAGAGGACTACCAATTACAGTGGAGCATTTAAAATATAGAAGTGAGGAAAGTGATGTGTACGTTATATATCAGTATTAAGTACTTCTAGGTTTTCTAACAAGAATCGGAAAGTTTAGTCCATATGTTATGAATGCTTTGCTCTTACCAGTGCCTAATCTCATCTCTTCATTTGGATTCAGCTCTCAAAATGAGCTATTGGAGTGGTGTCTGATGAAATAAAGTGACTTGAAGCATGACTGTGGTAAAGCAAATCTATTCCTAAAGTTACCTTCTCTTCTAAGCTTTGCCTCAAATAGTTAAATTTGACCAGAGCAGCTTTAAGTAAAGATTTCATGCTGGAACTTTGATTGATGATGCTCATTCCTTCAAGTTTTTTTGTCTAGATCTTAATGTACAGGTCATCTTGAAACTTACTTTAAGCCTGGTGTTTTGCAGACCTTTCTGTAATTACTCAGTTGTCCATTTTAGTAGCTGTTTAAATCTGACTTGACAGTCTTGGGCTCTTGCGTTTGTACATTTCTGAAACAGCACGTGCTGTAATGAGGCCTCAGAAGAAAGATAGCTGTGCTTCTGAGTTAACTGACACATCCATGTTCTCACGTATTTTCTGCAGGTGGCATGGCAGGACTGCAATCAATGATGAGACAGTTTCAACAAGGTGCTGCTGGGAATATGAAAGGCATGATGGGATTCAATAACATGTAAAGAAGCCTTAAAAAAATGGACTTGGTTGACTCTTCATTGCTACTTCAGTGAAAGAATTTGCTTTCTTCCTTTTTACAGTGATGGGAGAGTGATCTTTTGAAATCTTATTCAGGCTTCTCAGTTTCTACATCTAATTTCTGAAAAGGATTTTTGCTTAAATTAGTTCCTCTCCACTAATACCTGATGGCACAAAGAATAATTGAGTTTAATAAAACAAAATCATTATGTAAAATTTTAATATTTAGAGACACTTTTTAATTGTTTACATCAAAGGGCAGCCATTATATTTGTAAACAACCCTGATCTTTGGTTATAGTAACATAAAATGTCACAAATATACTGTAAAATAAAATAAGTGGTTATAAAGAAGGGAATGGCCTCTTTCTTCAGTTATTTTGTAACTTTCCTTTATCAGTGTGTAATGAGAACTTCCATTAGTTTGTTTCTAATGGTAGTTGCAACTCCTTTGGCATAGATACTGTAAGAATACATCTGAAGTGTGCTGTTGCTGCTTAGGTATTCCCTTGGAGCATTTACAGAATGTGAATGTGCTCAGGTTTGTTCAGAACTTTATTCTCCAGAATTTTATTGTTTTCCCTATACGTAAGAATGAAGTGACTACAGATACAGTTATGCAGATATAGATGGAATTCTGTTCTGGTACTGGCCTTCGAATAAGAGACAGCTGTATCTGACAGACAATCTGCCACAGTTAAGATCAGCTACACTGTCATCTTGATTTCCTGTAGCATTTCTTCTTTTAGTAATTCAATTTATTATGTTGGTCTCAAGTGGGTGGAATCTGCAGGCACACTTCAGAAACTAGGTAGACCAGATGAACCTTGAAATCCAACATACATCTTGGCAAATGTGGTAGGATTTTTCACCCTTAGGTAAAGAGGGTATGTTATGAATTCATTTTAATATCCTGCAGGATGCTTGGGTTGTAAATAGACATCCATCTCTGTTGCTTGGATAAGAGAAAAACTGAATGCAGTAATTAAAGCAAGTGTGTCCTTCTGTCAGCCAGTTCTTTGAAAAGGTGACAGCTAACACAGCTTAATACAGCTGACAGTCAATAGCTTACATAGGCAGTTATGCTCTTGCACTAATAAAATGTGTGCTGTAACTTACTTTCAAATTATAATCTTTGTGCTATTAGTGGCATCTGTATTCAATGTATGGGGGATGCTGAAAAAACTTCAGGTATGCCATTTCCTTACAGCACTGTGTTTTATGCATAGCATTAGTCTGTAAGTTATGTTGGGTCTTAGTATTTTAAATGTAACAAAAGAATGAGTGCTTATGTCACCAGCTTGTGGGGGAGCTGTCCTCAGCTGCTCGAGTGGTGTGTCTTCACTAAAACTCTTTCTTTTCTGTAATACTTTCAGTGCTTGAGCAGTACAGACCAATGCAATACACAACAATGCAGCAAAGAGCAGCATGTAAGTCTTGGTTTGGAATGCAGTCTGCAGGGGAGAGCAGATAGTTAAGCTGAATGCTTTTGGTGGAAATCAAACATGAATAGGCACATTGAGGATGAACAGTGAATCACTGTGCTTCTGGACAGGCTCAGTCAGGCTGACTATTACAAATTACTATTAACTCTTGCCATTTTCATTTGTGCATGTTTAGTTTACCATTTCCAAACTACTGCCATGGGTACCAGATAGGAAGAGAGCTGTCCTTAGCTGTGTGAGTTGGCAGAGGCAAGGGCAAGTTGAGAAAGCATTTCCTTTTAAGTATAAAATGTCAATTGTTATTTCTAAGGTATACACTGGAATAAAGAAATAGCAGTATATTGCTTTTACCTTAACATAGCGGGTAGAAAAGACTTGGGAGCCTGCTTGGAACAACTGCCAAAATATCTGAAGTTTGGGGGCTGGGGGGGGGGGAGGAGAAGAAAAATATAGATTTATAATGAATGTACTTATCAGGGGAGTTCAACTTTACAGGAGCACCTATAAAATTCTCTTGAAGCTTTACAGGAGAACAATTTTAGGGAATGTGGGCAATGATTTTTTTTTAACATTGTGGATCCTGCAGAGCACAATGTGTAGAAGAAAATCCTAAAGTTATTGCAGGAGAACAGATGCCATCATGTTCTATGTTCTCTCAATTTGATATTCTGAATTGGAGACTTAATTGCATTGCACTAGGAGAGGCCATGTAAAACACTGCCACCAAGTGCCACGAGTAACAACCCTCCCAGCACCATTTTTTTTGCATTAGGCTTCTTGTGCTTGTCCTCAACAGGATCTCACCATGTTCTGTAGAAAAGTTTTCTCTGACGTACAAGAAGCCTGCAAAGTTAGAGGCAAACAAACTTCACTGCAGATCATTAGAAGACTGAGGGCTCTTTCTGTCTGCTCCTTAGTGAAGGCTGTTGCTGCTCAGACAAGTCTGCTGTTTTGGTGCCTGGACACAAGGCTGAACCAAGTTCGGTAAGAGCTTTAAAGTATATAGTGAAGGACTTAAGTCACTGTAGTGTCCGGGGAGGGCCACTAGAAGGCGCCAATGGACAAGGGTGAAGTACAAAATCAGCTCAATAAAGCTGGCTGGTTTAGAAGTACGCCCTTATTTCAAAACCAAGGACAACATCCAGTCACTGGGGGTTTTTGTTATGTTAGTAACCTTTGACATCCAGCGTGCTAATATAGAAGTAGCTATCTGCGGCATGTTTACTTTTTTGGAAGATGATGGTGGTTCTGTAAAAGTGGAAGACCTTCACCAGCTGTAGAATAATTATATATCATTGATGCATGCTTTATCGGTTTGCTGTTTGCTGCCTTTTTAAGGAAAATCCTACCCACAGGGCTAGAATTACGTTTGCTTTTTGCTTGTTTGGGGGGTTTTGTTTTGTTTTCAAATTTGTGCGTGTTTGAGTTCTTTTACTCTGTGAAGAAAGAGGACAAGTATCCTCTCACTGTAGTTAGGGGAAAGGATGGATGTAGTTCATGGCAGCTATTCTTAAGCCTGTCTGCTGAGCAGCCTAATAAGAGGAAACAGTTATGATGGTCAGTAGCCAGCTGTATGATAGGAGCTGGACAGTTATTTGTGTGTGCTAATAGTTATACAAAGACACAGACATGGTTTTATTTAACAGTTCTTACCTTTCCTCAGGACTTTCAATTTACTTGCTAAATCTATTAAACCTGAGTTGCAAGTGCCAATTGTTCAGGGAGGTGAAAAATTACCTCACTATTGCTGCACAGCTGCTATAATCACAGTAGAGGCACAGGAGAGCTGGTTGATGATTTAATGCTGCTCTTCAAGAGCTGCTACTGTGTTTCATTCAAGCAGTCCTTACTAAACAAAATGTAGACACTACTATCAGTAAGAGGTATTGATGTGCCCTTATATCAATTTGTTTCTTTGTAGTTTTAAGTAATACTTCTTTGTTTTAAAATACAGAGCAGATGCTTGGTCTTGTACTATCTAAAATAGTACATGTTTCCATAATGACACATTCAATATACATTGCATGTGTCAGTCCTTTTCCTAAGGAGAACACTTTCTTCCTTGTGATAGTATAATTGTAAATCTAGTATGTCTATACTTTACCTGCTACTTTAATTTGTCATGGGATCTGGATAAGGCTTTGATAATATGACTAACAAAGTGCCTAAGAGCCCATCTGTGCAACAGACTGTAGTTCTCTGGAAGCTATTCTTAATGATGCAGCATTGGAGGATGGCTCTTGCTGTCATGTAAATAGTTGCATGTTGTAGTCACTGGCTCCAACCTTAAAAAAATAAATTACTAATTCCTCAGTCCCATAAAAATGATGTTTCAAATGCTTCCACCAGCAGCTCTTTTCAGCAGTACCCGGTGTTGGCTCCTGTGCCTTTTATCTAGCTCATCTGTGGCCCCTGGTTCAGGCCGTCACTTGCCTGCAGGAAGGAGGCCTCAGCGCAGACTTGGGGTAAAAGGAGTGCCCATGCTGCTGGAGCAGCTCAGCAAACCCTCCCGGGCCTGCTGGCAACGAACGTTGTTTTTCTCACCCAGACACATCCCAGGGGACCCTTGGTTTGCATTCCCTTCATGTTCTGTGGCCTTGCTTTTAATATGCATGGAATGGCCGGGGCCAGCACCACAGACTGAAAGGCTTCACAAGCTTAGCTCTTCTCGAGCGAGGAGGGCTCTTAAATAAAGGAACTTCATCCCCTTCTCAAAATATTATTCTGTTATTCTGCAGATTTTTACGATATTCTGAGAAGACGACGTGTGTCACCGCGCAGCGTTCTCGCTCCTT